ATCAACAGGACAGGGGGCGGTCCGAGGGGGCTCTCTCGGGGTCCGGGTGGCTAGAACCTTTCCGACTTTTCGGTATCAACACGTCCGCAGGCTGTGTGCAACCCCCTACCCTCCCCAAAGCAGATACGCCACCAACAGTGACAGCCGCCAGGGCCAGGTCGGCGGCCGGATCGGCGAGAGGATGCCTGGTGCGGGCATGTGGTTTTAATCAATCAGACGTATTGGGCACTCTGGGTAAGGCTGATGCTACCTGACCTGTCATTCCGAGCCATCATTTGGCTGTGTGTGCGAGAGAGAGAGAGAGAGAGAGAGAGAGAGTGAGTGAGAGAGAGAAGGGTAATTTGCATTCTACCAGTGGCGGACTATCGCTATCGTAGGCGTCAGGGTTCAACGAGAAAAGAAGATCAACCGCCGAACCAAGACCTTGATGGTCGTGTCGATCCCCGGTCCATCAGCTGAAGGCGGGCAAGACGACATAAAGAAGGCAGACCGACAATCAAGGAAAAAAAAAAAAAAAAAAAAAAGATTAACATGTGCCATGAAGCCAACTGGACCAACCAATCCAAGGTACAGGACGTGGCGAGAGGGTTGCATCAGAGGTGCGCACATCGCATGCCAGGCCATCAGGGCCACACCATGCCGCCATTGATTACAACGGAGTAGGACCCTCGGAAGGCGCCCCATTGGCGATTCGGCAGTGGGCTCTTCGGCAGGGGTAGAGAAGGGCAGAGGGGGCCCACGCTCGCTGCATGGCATGGCAGACCGGGGGGACGGGATGGGCTGCAAAGGAGGAGGGAGAAGAAAAAAAAACAATAAGGCTCTCGATGGCAAAATGTCGAGAATGTGTGGTTGTTCACCGTCTTCTGGAAATGGGCTGTGTCTTCCACCCCTCCTCCTCTTGCTCCCTATCGCTCCCCGCCTTTTGCCTGTGCACGCCATGAGTCAGAGCACCAGTACTTGCAAAGACCCCCCCCCAAGGACGCCAGCGTTTGGCAGAAGATGGCGTGCGCGCGTGCCCGGCTTGGGAAACCATGGGAGGTGACGTTCCGTTGACGCCTCATTGCGATGGAGTGAAGGAGGAACGGAGACAAACAAAATGGACGAAAGACGAAAGACGAAAGTCGCAGCAGTCGCCTGTGGAACGCCACTATCGCGACCTGCAGCGCGTGCTGTGGCCCCCCCCCCCCCCCCCCCCCTTCCTCCCCCGGCAGCAAGGTTCTGCATGGTACTCGCTCGGCGGACATGACCCTTGGCTTGGTGCCACCCAAGTACCTACTATGTACAGCCAAAGCTCGGCCCTTCATTCATATTCAGGATCCATCATGAATGTGGAGATTGTGGCTCCCCCGGTCCACTGGACTCTCCTCATTCACTCAGGCTCGTACACGTGTAGGCGGTACGACTGCCTGTAGTGCCGAAGCCGAACCTGAGTCTGAGCCTGGGCCAGAGGTCAGAGGTCAGAGGTGAGAGGTGAGAGTGCCTTGCTTCGCTTCGGAGAGGTAAAGGGCACTTGTGGAGAGGGATTGGTAAGTATCGCGCTCAGCATCGCAGGCCCCAGCACGTACCTGTGAGGCCTCGACTCTGAGGTACCACTTACCTACCTTAGGTAGGTAGGTACGTCGGTGCTAGGCCACGATAGGCCGTATGGGGCCTCGTCCCTCGTACGGCCGTTTCAATGGGGCCCCATGGGCTATGACGCGACTTTTGCGACATGGAAGGGGCAGAAAAGAAGGGGGAAGGCGGCACAGGGGGAAAGGAGGAGAAGGAGGAGAAGAAGGAGGAGAAGAAGGAGGAGAAGGAGGAGGAGGACAAGAAGAAGGAGGAACTGTAGGAGCCCAGCAGCACCGCCGCAGAAGAGAAGGAGCGGTGTCTCGTTTTCTGGTGAACGACGCCCGTTTGCCCGGCCACGTCCCGAGTTCGGCGCGCGGCTCGACCCGGGAAGGCGCCCTCGACTCACCACCCGCCGTACCTTACTTACCCCAAGGAAGGAAGAGGAAGGTGAACGACCCAACCGACCTGCCTTTGCCTTCAAAATACACTTCAACGCACCCACCACCATTTGGGTCCTCCCACCCTCTTCACCGAGCTCTCAAGCTCCTCTCGTCAACGGATCTCGCGGAACCAAAAAAGGAAGCAACAACAGGAAGAAAAAAAAAATCTTCAACCATCACCCACCCCATCCTCGTCGTCATGGCCTGCGAGACACCGTGCAACGGCTGCACGCAGCAGTGCGATGACAAGCCCCTTGCTGATATCGAAGACTACACGGCTGAGCTCGAAAAGCTGCGCCTGCGGTCCAAAGAGCTCGAGGCCCTCATCTCGTCCAAGACGCCAGCGCAGCGCCGTGGCAAGAAGCCCTTCCGCTCGTCTCAGTGGTTCAACCGCACCGATGACCGCGGAATCAGCCTGGTACTTGCCCGCCCTCTCTCGCCGGCCGTGGCTGCCATCATCGGCCACACGCTATCCTTGGCCATTGTGACACTGACCGCCTGCAGGCCTACATGGACAGGCAGCTCAACTACGGACTGACGACAGAGGAGCTCAAGAGCGGAAAGCCCATCATCGGCATCGCCCAGTCCGGCTCCGACCTCTCGCCCTGCAACCGCCATCACTTGCAGCTCGCCAAGCGAGTCAGGGACGGCATCATCAGCGCTGGCGGCATCCCGCTCGAATTCCCCACGCACCCCATCCAGGAGACGCTGCGACGGCCGACGGCCACCCTCGACCGCAACCTGCTGTACCTGGGCCTCGTCGAAATTCTGCACGGCTATCCACTGGACGGTGTAGTGTGAGCTCTGCCCTGGCCCGACGAGACGACGCGCGCGGGGACTCCTGGCGGCTGACTTTTGTTAGTTTGACGACTGGCTGTGACAAGACCACACCTGTACGTGATGGAGGATTGCCAATCCGGAACCCACGATGCATCACTCGGGCTGAACTAACGATGGTGCCAGGCAATGCTCATGGCTGCTGCGACTGTCAATCTCCCCGCCATCTGCCTCAACGTAGGACCAATGTGCGCCCCCCCCCCCCCCTGCCCTGCCTATGTAAACCAACCGCGTGCCTAACCCGTTCCCAGGCTCAATGGCAACCTCCAATCTGAAAAGATCGGCACAGGCACCATCATGTGGAAAGCGCGTGACCTCTACGGCGCTGGCAAGCTCGATGCAGACGGCTACCTCGACATGGTGTGCGCTGGCTCACCGTCGCCAGGTCACTGCAACACCATGGGCACGGCGTCGACCATGAACGCTCTCGCCGAGGCCCTCGGCATGGCCCTGCCCGGCAGTGCCACTATCCCCGCCGTGTATCGCGATCGGTCGCAGGCAGCTTACCGTACAGGCTTGCAGATTGTCGAGATGGTTGAGGCCGACCGACGCCCGTCCGACATTATGACGCGCGAGGCCTTTGAGAATGCCATTGCCGCCAATACGGCCATTGGCGGCAGCACCAACGCGCCCATCCATCTCAACGCCGTTGCCAAGCACATGGGCGTGCCGCTGCACCTCGACGACTGGGACCGCATCGGCTACGAGCTCCCGCTTCTCGTGAATGTTCAGCCGGCGGGCGAGATGCTGTGCGAGGAGTACTACCGAGCTGGTGGCCTGCCAGCCGTGCTGGCCGAGCTCGTGGGCGCTGGCAGGCTGCCACACCCTGGAGCGCTGACATGCAACGGCCGGACCATTGGCGACAATGTTGCGGCTCACGGCCCCTCGTGGGACAGGGCGACGATCAAGGCGTTTGACGCACCGATGAAGAAGAACGCCGGGTTCCTGCACCTCACTGGCAATCTCTTCGACTCTGCCATTATGAAGACATCAGTCATCTCGGCCGGGTTCCGCAAGGAGTTCCTCGAAGACCCCAACGACCCCAACGCATTCGAGAGCAAGGTGGCCGTCTTTGACGGACCCGAGGACTACGAGACGCGCATCGACATTGCCGATATTGACAAACGAACCATCCTTGTTATGCGCTACGTCGGACCTAAAGGATACCCTGGCGCGGCCGAGGTTGTCAACATGCATGCGCCGCCGAGGTTGCTAAAGCAGGGCATCCAGGACCTGCCATGCATCGGCGACGGACGACAGTCCGGTACCTCGGGCTCGCCGTCGATCCTCAACGCGACACCCGAGGCGGCTGATGGCGGCAATCTGGCACTCCTCCAGGATGGCGACAGGCTGCGTGTCGACCTCAACAAGCGTCGAGTTGATATGCTCATCTCCGATGACGAGCTGAAGGCGCGGCGCGCGGCGCACGAGGCCAAGGGCGGTTATCATGGTCCGCCAAGCCAGACGCCCTGGCAGGACATCTTCCGCCGAGAGGTCGGTGGTCTGAGCGAGGGCATGGTGATGAAAGAGTCGATCAAGTTTCAACGAATCGCCCAGACGCAGCCCATCCCGAGGGACAATCACTGAGGACACGATATCTGCGAGGAATGGATTCGGGATTTACTAGACAGGCTGGAGTTTGGGTGGCTAGGAAGGACTGGTCAAAAGTATTATTTTGTACAGGAAAAGGATAGATAGATAGATAGATTTTTAGAACGAAGACCTTCACCGGGATGATGCACGTACAGGGAAGCGTTGGCCGTTGTCATCAGCGGGCGATGCTTGACAGGAGATTGGTGCCCAGCAATGGCGTTGGTCCCATGCGACTCGGAGGCGCGGTGACAGAGAGAGAGAGACAGACAGACAGAGACACAGACAGGGTGACGTCACGTGGTGAGGGGAGCTCGGAGCTGGAGGCAGCTACGATGAGACACGGCTGCCCCACCACAGCAGCCAAGAGCTTACGGCATCTTGAAGCTCACGACGCGTGTTCCTAACCTCTGCTTTTGTCTTGTAGCTTGCAATCTCGTCATTGCGCCATCGTTCGGCGTCAACTGAAGCTCTGGAAGCATCAAAGGGTCCTTCCAACCGCCGCTTGCTCTTTCTAGTCGACCTCGCTGAGCTGAGTCTCCTCTTGCCGACGCTTCCGGCGGCCGGCAGACCACCATCACCATGGCTCCCTCCTCCGTATCACCGGCCTCAACAACGACGAGGCCATCCCTGAGATCCCCTCCGAAAGAAAGCTCCCCGGAGCCTATCATCAACGATAATCCTGCCATCCAGAGCTACTACCAATCCTTCGAATCACGCATCGGCTACCGTCTGCTCCTCGGCGGCACGCGCCACTTCGCCTACTGGGACCACGACACATACTTCCCCTTCCCCCTCGGCCCGCCCCTCCGCCGCATGGAGGACAAGCTGCTCGAGGCCCTCGCGCTGCCTCGCGGCGCCACCGTCCTCGACGCCGGCTGCGGCGTCGGCCACGTCGCGCTGCACATGGCGCTGCGCGGCGGCCTGCGCGTCCAGGCCATCGACATAGTCGACCACCACGTCGCCAAGGCGCGGCGCAACGTGCGCGCGGCGCCCCTCGCCCCCGGCACCGTCACCGTGCGCAAGATGGACTACCACCACCTCAAGCCCGCCATCGCCGACGCCTCGCTCGACGGCGTCTACACCATGGAGACGCTCGTCCACGCCACCGACCCGGCCGCCGTGCTCGCGGGCTTCCGCGCCGCGCTGCGGCCCGGCGGCCGCGTCGTCCTCTTCGAGTACGACCATGACCTCGACGCTGCCGCTACGGCCGGCGGTTGGATGGCCGCCGATATGCGCAGGGTCAACGAGCTGGCGGCCATGCCTACGTATCAGGCGGCGCGGCCAGGCTACTTCCGGGCGCTGCTCGAGGAGGCCGGCTTTGAGGATATCGTCGAGCGGGACTATAGCGAGAACGTGCGGCCCATGCTGCGCCTGTTTTACCTGCTGGCCATCGTGCCGTACTTGATCGTCAGGGTGTTGAGGCTCGAGAAGTATTTCGCCAACACGCTGGCTGGTGTTCTGGGGTATGCGGCGGGGGAGCACTGTCATTATGTGGCCATTAGCGCGAGGAAACCGGGGGTGCTCGAGGGGTCCAAGGCCAGGTAGCTGTGCACGTGCGTAGAAGGGCGCGCGAGAGGGGGGCGTTGAGGTGGACGGAGGCCGAGTTAGCTATGTGTCCTCCTCGATTTGGCCCGCTGTGTGATCCTTGCTGCTGCTGCTGGTTGATCGGCACCTTGTGATGTCTCCTGTGACACCTTTTGTCCACCTTTGTCTTTGCGAAGCTTGTCCAACATGTCGAAGGCGGCCCTCCCAGCCAAGACAAGCAAGGCGATCACCACCCATCCCACCACCAGCACAAACCCCCAGAGCTCCAACACGATGTAATACTTATTCGACCACCTCGTGACAACGTACGTCACATACGCCGTAGCCCAAACCAACGCGAGCATGCCCGGCCGTCCCCTCGCCGCGCTCACACACGCGGCCCAGACCACGGGCCCAACCGCGAACCCGAGATAGTACACCACCCACCACGCGCACAGAGGCACGCCAACCCACCGCCTCGCCAGGACCTCCCCCAAGACCACGCGATGCACCTCCGACGGACCGCCGACGAGCTTCCCCACGGCCATCACAACCGCAACGGCGTGGCACGTCCTCGCCTGGACATATTCAGCCGCCGCGAGCGCCCAGACCAGAACGCCAACCGCGGCAACCTCGACGACGACGCGCCGCCGTCTCGGACCGTCCCGCGCCGTCCTGGACGCCTCGTGCGCGTCGGCGCCCACGACCGTCCGCGCCGCGGCGCCGCCGAGGAGGTCGACAACCGCCTTTTGCGCCACCGTCCACGCGACACCCCCGAACGCAGCAGCCGGCGCCGACGCCGGCGCCGACGCCAGCAGCAGCTGCGCGTCGAGGAACAGATGCGGGCTGCCGATGGCCATCTTGAGATGGGCCAGCGGCGTCGCGCACACCCAGGCGCCGAGCCAGGGGAGCAGCATGCGGCGCACGTGGTTCGTCAGGATGGCGACGGCGAAGCGCGCCGCGGCGGGCGCGAGGCCGTCGGCGAAGAGGGCGGCCCAGACCTGGCGGCCGTGGGGGCGGCGGCAGACGCGGCGCAGCGCGGGCGGCATGACGGCGCCGGAGGGTGTGAGACGGCGCGGCAGCAGGGCCGAGGCCGCGAGCGAGAGCTCGGCGAGGGAGCTGTAGGCTGGCGGGGGCAGGGCGAAGCTGCTGCTGCTGCTGCCGGTGGTGGCGCCGTGGGGGCGAGAGCGCGGGGGGGTGGCGTGTGTGTGTGGGATGTGCGTGGGCGCGGGCGGTGGTGTGTCCGGGGCTCGCCGTGGGGTTGCCATTATGCTGTGTTGTTCTGGTGCCAATGCGTGTCTTGTGTGATGCGTGCGTGGTCGAAGCCGTTTCGATGAGGCGAGGTCGCATGAGGTCGAGATCCCTGCGCAGGAACCCCACTTCGCTTCGCTGTGCGCCAAACCTACGCCCAGCATCAAGCCAGAATAGGGGCCAGGCCCAACATCAATCAAGACATCACAAATCATGTCGCATGCGAGTTGCGTGACACATAGTGGGAAATGCATCAAGGCAGATCAAATTTCCATCTTCATCGAGCTTGGCCAAGCTGCATTGCGGCCTTGCGGCTTCATTGGTACACCGCCACCACACCCTATCCAGTGCTCCTCTGCAGAGCCGAAGCAACCCAAGTCAACACCCATTTGCCCGGTTCCCATACCAAGTTACACACTTCTTGTCCCGCTCCAAAAACAAATGATTCCCAACGCCTCGCTAGAATTCGCACACCAGGCCGTGCGCAGGCCTCCTTTTGCCCGTACCTGCCTGCCCTGCTAGGGTTCTGGGCGCCGATCCTGTCCTCATCGGATGTCCTTCAAACGTTGTGCTCAAGACCGTCTATGTACAAATGGATCATGGGTAGCCTGACTGACACCAGTCGAGGCATGGGCTCCTGAAGAGCATGGAATGCTGTTACCACATCCCACTGGGCCCGAACGTATTCCGTACCGTCTTTTAAGGAAAACAAACAGACTTTGAAAAAAAGAAAAAAAAGGGTTCCAAGAATTAAGGCCGTTTCAATGGAAACGACCTGGAAGTAAATTGGTTGGCGGCAGGGCAATATCGTGAAGCCGCCCGTTGTCGCAGTGGCCGTTACTCGTTTGCTCGTTCTGTTTTTGTTTTTGTTTTTGTTTTTTGTTTCTTTTGCTTCAGAGTTTTCCTCTTGTATCTTTCATCAGGGCGTGTGTAACGACAGTGTATTGTGTCAAAAAAAACGCGCACATGGCTGCGTCCAGCACCCAATACCCGAGTTGTTGACAAGGGCATCAGACTGCTCCAGACATGTCAAATGGGAAGGGCGCGTATTCGTCAACCATGAATCCTTGCGACAGTTGATTACCGCAATTCGCCGACGTTAAAGCGTTCATAGCCGAGAAGGTAGCATCGGATGGCATCATGCCCACCGGCGACAACGTGGCATAGGGAGAAAACTCAAAGGTGGCCGCCGACATGAGTGCGGGCTGGTCAGGAGACATTGTGTCGAGTGACAGCTCGGGACCTATGCTGTACCCGGGAAAGTCCGGCTCCTGGGACAGCTTGTTGCCGATGACTGGGAACGTCATATCCATCGCCGTCATGGCCGTGTTGGCTGCTTCATTGTCGTCCTCCTCCTCGTCCGCATCGTTGGTTTCGCTGCTGTGCACATACACTTCTTCGAACCAGGCCTTCAGCTCGTTCATCGGTGGCCAGTCACCGCCGCCCTTGCCACCACGCTTCTCCTCGTCGTCACCGCGCGCCTTCTTGCCCCGGGCAACCTTGGGCTTGAAGTGCGTCCGACGCAAGTGTGCCGCTGCGTTATAGTAAGCACCGTATTGCTTCTTGGCCTTGCATTGCTTGCACTTGCTGAGGGGGTGAAGGGCTTGAACAGCGGTGGGCATGCCAGAGAGGGCGGGATCTCGGCAAATGAACTTCCTGACAACGCCGGCATGCTTCGCTTCAACATGGCGCTTCAGCTCGTGCTCGCCTCGGAAGCCCTGCGGGTTATCGTCGCACATGGTGCACTTGACCTTGGGGTGCTTCGGCCTGGTGTACGGGCCGCTCTTTGTCATGGCCACCTTGCCATCCTTTTTGGAGGCCTGTGCCGGAGAACTCTTGATGACAGCTTCGGGTTTTGCTGCGAGCAGCCTCGTGGCATTCTGGTTGTGGCGTCGGCGGGCTTCGCGTGCACGGCGCTCCACGCTGGACTGTGTGGAGGTGGAGCTGTTGGATCGCTCCATGCCAATAGACTCCTGAGACAGGAACTGCTCACTGTGGGCAGAGGTGGAATAATCTTGGGACAAGGGGTCAAGGAAGCCGTCGCCTAGGTAGGACATCGGTTCGCCACTCTTTTCGCAAGTGTCATCCTGGAACGAGACGTAGAACTCCTGCTCCAGAGATAAGTCAGTCTGTTGGGAGTGCGTCGAGTCGAGCCTGGCCATATCAAACGCGCCGACGAGAGCACTGTCGAAGGAGCTGTTGTCCCGGGTCAACGCTGCTGATTCTGCGGCAGATGGCCCCGACGTCATGGACGGGCAAGCCGACATCATGAGGCTAGAGCCCGAGCCGCGATTGCTGTGTGATAGAGCGTAGTTTTGTGCAGGCGGGGGTCTTGGATTTGAAGATGCTACGGCGTCGGTGGTCTCGTGTGCTTCCAGATAAGCCAATGGGTGAATGCCGACACCATCAAGAGAGCCGTGCTCCTCGACGCTCTGCAGAAATGAGCGGCGCTGGGTTGTGTTTGACCGCTGGAGGGACGTGGCAAAGCCGTAGTTGCCAGAGGAGCCGTCTCGGGCCTGGGTGAAACCGCTGGGCGGCGCGTGGGCTGTATTGGAGCTCTGGAGAGGAGCGATGGGCCCGGCTGCGATAAATGGCACATTTCGCGACGACTGGCTGGAGCCGCTTCGTGACATGCCGGTGGTCATGGAAGGCGATGGTGTGTACTGTTGCGACATGACTCTGGGGCGCTTCACGGGGTGCTGACGTTCGCTGCTCTGGTCCTGAAATGGGTGAGTGAGTATGGGCGTCTCCCAAGGGCCGAGAGGGGTACGGGGTGACATACCATCGGACGGCCTGACGACATGGAGGACGGCGCATGTCCCATGGTGGACTTGCTGCGCTGGACTTTACCCACGGAGCGAACGGCATATTGTTGCGCGGGCACGTTTCTCGGGACGTTGACAAAGTCTACAGGGAAATCACTGTGCTCAACAGGATAGTGCGGCTGCTGGCTGGCAAACGAAGACTGGGGGTGAGTCTGGGATGCCAGGTGAAGCTGGGCCTTGAGCGCGTGGACTTCTCGTTCACGTTCTTGCAGTTGACGTTGCAGTTCGTCGACGTTGTTGAACTGTTGGTTCATGTTGTTCATCACAACGAAAGCACAGTGAAGCTGTCGACGAACAACGATCAGGCTTGTTGTTGGTGGACGGATGGGTGTAACTGTAACTACGAGCAGCCCCGTCTTGGTGGTGCGTTGTGAGCAAGCGTGGGCTGGCTGATGGAAGTAGTGGGGGGGATGCTGCAGAGGAGCGGCCTCGACGTCAGAGCTGGATCGAGTACTGATCTGATCTGATCTTCGTCTTTTTGTTCCGCTTGGGTTCTCTCGCTCTTCTGTCTCGAGAAACAATGTCAGGGGACAAGGGCGCAGAAGCTCAGAGGACGGTTGGGGTTTCGAGTCAAAAAGAAGACGATCACAAGAAAAGAGAGAGGGAGGCGGTCGACGAGGGGTTGACGTGTGGGTATAATAAAGGCGAGGGTGAGCTGAGCGATGGGCGTGTCCAGTGAAGGAAGTGAGGCTTTGCGTATCCCCACCCAGCACATGTAATGTCGGTGGGACGGAGACAGGACGCTAGCGATGGATGGGAAGATGGTGTGTACCGTAGGTAGGGTAGGGAACAAGGATGGGAGGGCGTGGGTGAGGATGGATGCGAGATGCGCTGTCTGCGGGATTCTGAGGTGTGCGGCCCGTGGTTCGCGACGTGCCGGTAAACTTTGTGATTGTCTCCTTTCGGGGCCAATGTTGGCTGGGTTGGCAGTTTGGGTTGGTTGGTGGAGGAGGAGGAAGAGGGCGGGGTGTGTGTGTGTGCGTGTGTGAAGGAAGGATGCAAGCAAGAAGGAGGAGAGGTGACGATAGGTAGTGCACAACACCTGGGCGAAACGACAGAACACTTGAGACATGGACAAACCGCCCAGAAATGGCTGGGCTGGACACACGGGCGGCGAGGATAGCAAGAGAGGCAGGAGCAGGGGGAGACGAGGCAGTTGCAATGCGGCGATGCGGCAGGGTGGCTGCTGCTGCCGCTGCTGCTGCGTCCACCTCTTTCGCTCCCGCTGGACACTGTAATGAGTGCCTGTGTGTAAGAGTAGAAGAAGTGCATTGAGAAAGAGTTGTCAGGGGTGGGAACGCCGCCACCTTCTCAGTGGAAGTCGCGGGGACGTGGGAGCTCGTCGATTGGCTTCACCTGCTTGTTGATCGCTCGTCAGTGGGTGCAACACGTTGCTAGCGTGCCGAGATGGCTGACTGGCTCGCAGGGGTCCGACAGACAAGGCAGTTACCAAAGTAGATCGCAGCGCCCGACTACAGCGCCGTGGCCACTGGAATGCAAAGCTCACCGTCTCTGGTGCCCACCTCTCTCTCTCTCTCTCTCTCTCTGTCTCCCCTCCCCACCCACATCTGAACCAAGATCGAGGCCCCTGTAGTAGACCCAGCCCACCCGCGATTTCCATTCCACAGGCCAGCCCATTTTGACGAAGAGCCTGAGCCTGACTCGAGACGTCAACCCTAACGTAATTCCACCAGTTCCGACTAGGAATACCACGCTGACCGCTCAATAGTGTCGACTGCCCATCCTGGCCACGGGTGGCTCGCGATCGCGACTGTCGATTTGTTCGCCGTCTCCCAAATCCGAGAGCGGTGACGAACCAGCAATGACGGCATAATACCTCCGGTCACAGGGTATGCCAGTCCGACCCCGTAGACCCATCCCGCTTGCTTTCCGCCATGCACGTTCCCGAGCCTCGTCTCGGACATGATTTGGAGAGACATTCTTTTCTTCTGGCAAGTCGCAGCATTGCCAGGGTCGGGGTTGACCGGGGAGAGAAGGATGATGTCGGGCATTACGCAGCATACGATTCTGAGTCCGCCGAGCGGTTGAAACAATCGGGAGGGGCAGCCCCGGCGTTTTGGTTCGGGGGGGCCGTACAGGAATAGCGACGGCTGCCCACTCAGAAAAAGGCTGGTCAACATGAGAAAAGAAACGGGAATGACGGTTGCGAAGGAGCAAGGGCCATGTCATCACGCCCATCATCACACCGAATCACCAACATGAGCTGCACCCCCCGGTCGCGGAACGTGACATCTTCGTCATGACGATCCCCTGGTCTGGCCAGAGTCCAAGAGGTTTAAGCCGCGAGACATGGCGTGCGCACTGGGGCGCCTGCTATTGAGATGCCTTCTTCCCTCCTTCCTTCTTCTTCCCCGAGAGCGAGCCCGAACAATCAAGGCAGAGCATGCGCTGGGCGAAAGACGGATAGACTAGCCAGCCAGCTGAGGTGTCAGGGTGCCGGGGAAGCATCACGGCAACGATGGCTTCTTTCCGCGGCCCTATCACCAACTGCCCCGGCGCCAGGCGGCACGGCGACGTGACATGTGCTTCAGCGCAGCCATGATCAACCTAATTCGTCTGACGTTCAACGACTTCTGCTTCCACCGTACTGTAGATGCGACGAGCGAGGCGACGCATGCACCTGCATGATGACCATGCGCCAGCTGCTGTCCCACCCCCCAACTTCCTTCAAGTCATCAGAGTCGGCCGTCAGCACGCCCGCCGGCCGCAGGAATCGCTTCAGAAGCCATCGCGCCACTGCATGTCGGGTCTGATCTGGCTGGCTGTCGAGAGAAGCCAGACAATCCACTGAAGCACCTCGGCGACCCGTGGCAGGCCCCATGCCTCGTTCCTCTGTCTATTCGTACTGGCCATTGGCCGATCTGCAGTCGTGGCATCCCCCGAGAAAAGTGAGGCGGCCGCCCCGCATCGCCATAATAATAGGCTGTCCACTGCCGGCACGGTACACAGGGAAGGCCCCGTGAGCGCTGAAGGGTTGCTGCGGATTGGGCGGCGCGGCGCGGCATGCGCGGCTTGGATTGGGGAAAGACATACTGCTGGTCCGCTCGCTTGGTCGTCTCCCTGAGCCCGCCGCTTTCTGCGATGTGCATATCGAGCCGCTTGATCGTCATCGGAACTGCGGGTCTGTCCCGGGCGACACGAGGAGAGGCATCACAGAGGGACGGGCAAAGGCAAAGCAGCTAGTGAGCTCAATTCATCTTATTTGTCCATGGGCGGGTTGCAACGCTCATCTCCCGCAGCAAATGGGCGCGACAGTCCGGCCCGCAGCACGGATCACGATCAGATCTCACCGAGTCTGACCACGGGCGAGACGCCTTCAAGGCTGGGCTGTCCGCCCTCTAGCATGTCGGTCATCTCCTGATCAGTGGTCTGTCGTCGGTGGTCAGGACGCCTGGGCGGGCATCACTCTCAATCCCTGAACACGCGATGGCGGCACGGCAGATGCTTGACACGCGACCACGACCAGCCTTGGCCGACGACCCAAGTCGTACGACCTTGGAGGAGGACCGCGCTCAGCTCATGAAGTAAGGGACGCCCTCAATGTAAAGGACTATCTGGGCCTCCATTGCCCTTTTCCCGGCGGAGGGGCCGCCGGGTTTTGCCGTCCCTGGCCGTGTATCTTTGCCTCGCCGTCTTTTGGTCGTTGGGCTGTTCTTGCAGGTGGCCGTGATCCCTTCGACAGATGCCTTCGAGCCTGATGCGACCCGCCATTGCTGGAGTCTTCAGCCAAAAGAAGGGCGATGGTGTCGTTTGAACAAGGCACACTGAACCAAGGCACGTCGCCTGCTTGTGTGCCCGAGTTGGCCTGAGGTACAGATCGGGACCAAAATGAGGGATCAGTTTTGCCCGACGAAGGCGCCAAACCCCATTCACCACGACAAGGCCCAGTGAGTCATTGTAGAGTGCAGGAACAGGAAGCCCGAATTGATCGAAGTCTTCGGGAATTCAGTTGGACCTCGTGTGCCCAACAACCTCACCTTGCCGTATTGTGACGACGCGTACGTCTGCGCCTGCACCCAACCATGACAGCAAAAGCCAATCTACGATCAAAATGCTGGAGAAAGAATGGCTTTCTTGTGTCAACTGACGCGGGTCTCCTGCCGATCCCCAAAGTCATGGAGATATTTGGCTCGGCGGATTTCTACTGGGCCAAGGCTCTCTCACCAACCGCCATGCAGGAAGCAATCGACAATTCGCTCTGCTTTGGCCTCTACGAGGAAAAGGAAATAGTAGAGCCGATGGATGATTCGGACGATCCTGCCAACACGAACCTTGTCGGTTTCGCGCGATGCATCACAGACTTTGTCACGTTCCTGTACATTACAGATGTATGGGTTGACCCAGCACAGCAGGGCAAGGGTCTCGGCACATGGCTCGTCAACTGCGTCCAAGAGGTGGTTGAGGCCATGCCCGACCTCCGGAAAAGCCTGCTCTTCACCGGTGATTGGGCGCGATCGGTCCCCTTTTATGAGAAGTTGATGGGCATGACGGTGGTGGATTCACAGCCAGGTGAAGGGCTCGCCGTCATGGAGAGGAAGGGCAGAGGCCACCCCAGTTATGGCCGGCCCGGCACCAGCTACAATTGGAAGGAGGATGAGACCCGCCATTGACTAGTCAGGTGGAGATGAGTAGGCATCCTGTACAGTACACATACATCCTTCAATCAATGCAGAGGGAACAGTTTCTTGATGGCACGAACCCTGACTTCGTGATGTTTTGCCCACCTATGTGGAGTTTGGCCTGATCCCTGGTGATTGGCCAGCTTGCTGGAACGCTTATCTAATCAGACGATCCCCGCCCTTGGACGTCTCGGCTGATTACCGGCAGAGTCATGATGACACTTGGTCGATGATGGACCTACCCACTTGGGAAACTCGCACGCTGGCAATAGCTCTGGCAATAGCTCCCGAAGCTGCCCTCACACCGCAGAAGCAAGTGGGGAGAGCATCATTCGTTGCCTGTGTCTTTATGTGAGCTCGAGGAAAACCTACCCGGCACCATGCGCCGTCTCCAATTCATCCTGCTGGCAACTGTCCAGCTCTCCGGAGCTCGCCAAGCTGGCTTCAGCATCCACGATGACCTCGTCGCCTATCCACAGTACGAAGTCGTCTTTTCCGAAAGCTTCATTTCTCAAAAGGAAGCCGATGCGCTGTTGCATCACGCGAATCCCCACTCGACCTACGCGGCCGAATTCTCCTCCCAGTCCGATCTCGCTCAACAGGTGCAAGAAGCAAGGGACGACGAAGGACCGAAAAGCGACGATGTGCAGGAGACGTATGAGCTCATGCACATGGCGCCGTCGAAGTACCTGTGCTCCATACCGATCCTCGAACCCGCGGGCCCCGAGAATAAGACGGCCAACGACCTGGCGAAGCAGGAAGAGGCACGCGAGCTCGCGAGGGCCTCGGCTGCCGGCTGGGACCTCATCAACGAGCTCGACGGCACGTGTCTCTACTACATGTCCGGCTGGTGGAGCTACCGCTTCTGCTACAACCGCGAGATTTTGCAGTTCCACGCGCTGCCGCTGATGCCCAACGGCGAGCCCCCGCTGCGCGACCCCAACACGCTCGAGTTCGTCCTCGGACGCGGCCCCAAGGATGCCGACGAGCCCGCGGGACACGGCTCGACGAACGAGAAGGCGGCGGCGGCGGCGACGACGACGACGACGGACCTGCAGGTGAAAGGCGATCAGCGCTACCTCGTGCAGCGTCTCGACCGCGGCACCATCTGCGACCTGACGGGCCGCGAGCGCACGATCGAGATTCAATACCACTGCATGCCGGGCCTCAAGAGCGACCGCATCGGCTGGATCAAGGAGGTCACGACGTGCGCCTACCTCATGGTCGTCAACACGCCCCGCCTCTGCAACGACGTGGCCTTTTTGCCGCCGAAGCAGACGAGCGCCAACCCCATCAGCTGCCGCCTCATCCTCGACACGAGCGACCCCGAGGCCAGCGCCGCGTGGCATCGGCGCAAGACGCTCGAGGCCGAGGCGTCCATGGTTCACGGCGAGCGCCGCGGCGGCGGCAGCGGCGACGCGCGCTTTGTGGAGAACGCGCGGCCGGATCTGGACTCGGAGTCGTTCCGTAAGCAGGAGCCCATCACGGTCGGCGGGGTCCTCGTCGGCGGGCGCAAGGTGCTCAGCGAGGCGGACGAGGAGGGCAAGCCGCCGGCGGTGTTGAAGCCGCCGCATAATTTTCTGCCCAACAAAGCGCAGGCGGGCAAGCCAAAGACTCCAGGGGCGGCGGCAGACGAGGCCGAAGCGTACGAAACGGAGACGATCGCATCACGAAAGCACAAGGCCGAGGGCGGCGAGCTCTGGATCCTCTCGGACGAGGAGCTCGAGGAGCTGGACCTCAGCCCCGAGACGGTGGAGGACATGCGGCAGGAGATTGAGAAGCTCGCGGGCGACAAGGGCTGGAAGCTCGAGGTGGTGGAGGCGCCAGGCGAGGCCAGGGAGCTGCGTGGCTACGTTGACGATGACGAAGATGATGCCAAGGCCAAGGCGCGAGCGAAAGCCAAGGCGGCCGGCAAGAAGGGGCCCGACGCCGACGAAGAGGACGTTGCGGGCAGCGAAGAGCAGTTTTACGGAGACTGGTGATTGTTCATTGTCGTTGCTGTTGCTGTACGAGGTAGACAGTACCAAGCTTGCAAGAGGGGGGGGGGCTTCTGGCTAGCATCGGCGTTACGGTTTGGGTTCGAAATGGAAGGTGTCACGATGTGGCTGTTGACGTGCATGACGTGACATTGACACAGGTTCGGCATGTCATTCTTGGTCGCGAAGCAATTGATGTTTGAAAACCGCAGCCACATCGTCAGCGCCCAAAAGAACGTCACAAACGAACTCGGCCTCGCATCTCCTCTGGGCCGATCTCGCAACAACGTCTCGCACGCGAAGCTAGCATGACATGAGCCCTGGAAATAGTCCACCCAAACGCGGCAAGGTCCCTGGCAAGCCTGGCATTGGGGAGCCGAGTTGAGCCTCTGGCCCACATGCTGCATTGGCTTGCGGATACCTGGTCCCAGGCCACCCCCAAGTCAGCAGATACCTGGTCCCAGGCCCTCCCCCTCCCCAAGTCAGCAGACCACAATCCCCCAGCAAACAGCCAACACACACAGCCAGAGAGACAAGTACCGTGATCGGCGGACGCGAGCCAAGACGTCGTGAGGCAGCGCTGATTGGCCTCCCCCGCATTCAACGGCATGTGTTTGCGAATCACATCTCAGACTCTTCCCCGCACTTTTTTCGTTTGAGCTGATGAAGAGGCGACGAGACGAACAGACGGCGGGCAAGGTCTGAATCAGGTCGCCTTGACAGTACATTGACAGTACATAGTCCAGTTTGCCGTTGGCCGTCCTCGTGGATGACCTGACGACCTGGGTCCAGTACAACAGCAACAGCAGCTACAGCAGCTACAGCAGGCGCGCACGGAAAGAGGGGCCAACTCCACTGTCGACCTTCCCCCATAATCACATCGCCCAATTCCTCGCTGATACCTACCTCGTCCTTCCCCATCAATCCACCTACGAACCCCCCCCCCTACCTATCCATCCCATCGCAACGAGAGGCCCAGGTCGATCACATAGGGCCGTACACCGCGAAAGTCAAAGTCCGCAGTTCCTGTCGTCCGTCTCAGATTGCCTGTCCATTCCTCATCCCTGCGTCATGCTCCGCGATGGACGACGCACAGGATACACCGAGAAATGTAGCGACGACGGCGACGACGACGACAACGACGAGCAGCGACTCGGCCGACGCTGCCTTTTCCAGGGCCAATTCTGTCGACCCTCACGATGAGTCCTCTTCGCCCGGAAAAACGAGGAAGACGCAGCAGCCAAAGAGAACCGTGTGCGATCACTGCCGCCGGAGACGTATGTTTGTCCCATCCGCTGCCTTCACTTCTTCACCTTGACTCGTCGTCCCCTGCCTCACGTCGAACTCTGCCATACCTCCTTCGTCTGCTTCCCTTCCCGCTCTTGGCGCTCCATCATCACCTCTCTCGGCCCATGTTGTCCTGACCCCCAATGTCCATGAGCTTTCGTGCCATTCTCCCCCTCCCCAGCAGACTACGCCCTGGCCAGTCTGTATGTCGCCTTCATGGTATCTCTCACAAACTTGCCTTTCCCCCCTCACCCCGCTCTCCCCTCTCTCTCTCTCTCTCTCTCTCTCTCTCTCTCT